TGGACAATGATAGTTGGTAGTTATTTTCTTGATATTTTAAATTAAATTTACTTTAACAGTGTTATATATAAAAATAAAATTATATTTTTTATTAATATTAATATAAATTAGTTTATACATTATTAATCTTATAAATTCTAAAATTAATAATTATTTAACTCTTCAGTCACCTGAAATTTATGAAAGTCTCCAGTTGAGTTACACCCTGATGTTAGTCTTTTCTTTTTCTTGGCTAAGGTGGGAAGGGGCTGCTCCTGGAAAATACAATCCATGTCCTTCTTCTAACTTTCTGCCATATTTCTCTCATTTCCTTTTCATTTCTTGCACCTAAGATCACTTCTTTAGTCCAACTCCTTTTTTTCAGATCAAAAGGACAGAAGAAAGAGGAGATGAGGAAGCACCAGATGGCTAGATAATTATATCACGATCGTTACGATGGCTCAGGTCGATACAAGTTAATCCCTTGAGCACCATCAGATTATCCTCTATTATTGGTTACTATTACTTATTGGAAAGCTAGAACTTTCAGGATTCTTTTTCTAAATAATTAGGGACATGTCTTCTTGTTTATCCAAGCACAGTGCAATTATATCCATGCTCTTGAAAACTTGCTGCAATTACCTTCTATGAGAGATTGACAAAGAATTAAGGGTTCATATATTCAAAAAGATTCAGATGGGTTTTATGTGGTTTGCTGTGAATTGAAATGGGTATGTGTTAGATTTTCAAATCATCAAATGTTGTTAGAGGATTTTCTTGCAGAAGTTAGGGATTTAGGAGAAGATGGGTATGAAAAAGTGTTGAGCTAAGAAATTATTATAAATGCTTTAGCATTTTTTTGCTTGATTGATTGCTAAGAAAAATAAGGAAAGGGAAGCTAAAACTTGGTTCCTTCGATGTAAAATACTGTGCTACCCTGTTTCAACGGTGGTTTCGTGTCAGTAATGGAGGTGTGCTGATGGTGAATGTGCTACACTCGATAGGATTGTAGCAATGCCATTGGTTTGCCAATATTATCACCACCATGTTGATGGGCAGGATTTGATCATGCCATTGCCACTATAGTCACCACCATGTTGATGGGCAGGATTTGATTACTTGGCTAGTTGGCTGGTGGTGTATTATAATTTGACGAAATTGATGAGGTGGTCATGGTGGTGTATGATAATTTGACGAAATTGATGAGGTGGTCATGTTGAACATGCATTCCTACAATTTTCTTACTAGATCACGCAAGCACTACTAGCTCTTGTAATTGTTGACTATCCTTTCCTTGTAAATGCAGACCATTCCAACAATAAATCCCCGATCTATTACCTATACATCAATTGAAACCCAACCTATTTTTATATTAATTTGGTAACCATCCCATCACAAATACTTAATCTGGAGCTTCAATAAGAAAAAAGATTTCTTTTTCCATCCAATTGCATATATAATATTGGGATTTTGGATGGAAAATATTAAAAAATTCAGATAGAAAGATTTAATTGAAAATTTCTGCTTTGTTGGGACCCAAATTAATGATAAACAATATGTGGAGAACCACCGAAAGATTCCACTGTATTAATTGGATCCTTGAAAAAGTTTATCTCGAAAGAAGTAATTGAGTTTCCCTTTCTTTTTCTATTTTTCGTTCCAAATAGTGGGAATCTTTCATAACCAAATTCATTACTCAAAATACAGGCACAACCATCAAATCGAGTTCATGAATCAAGTCGTCTTCCATCGATGGAGAGTCCCTTTCACTTCAACAGCGTCAAATCTTAGATACCATTGATAAGAAGCGAGTAAAAGTAAAACAACAAGCCTTTAATCTCAACTCTTCCCAGAGAGAGGCATTTGCATGCTTGACCCTCTCTGCCAATGCCAAGGCTTTTGGATCCCTCCAGAGCCATCTCTTATTGGTATTCTTTTCAAGCAAGACTGCTTCAGTACTGATGTTGTCTTGGCCAACAATCCCGAGTGTGGCATCACATGGCTTAAAGCTCTTATTTTTGCCATCATGAATCACCGAGCTAGCTACTTGTAACTTTTCCAGCCACCCTTTGCTCACAGCTAATCCATATGACCTTGTTCCCTTCTTGGGAGTTTACTTGTAGAAACAAGAATCCATTTCTGGTCTTGAAGGACTCTCCCCCAGCCTCGCATCTTTGCTACTCACTGTCCTTATTCTCTGTTGCCAAACTCCATGATTAGTACTTCTGGCAGCCGTTTTGTGTATGTTTGTCGTAACCCAAATGATGATGTTGTTTCCCTTTGGCACTTCCTCAACAAATTGTCGCTAAGAATAACACCTAGCCCTTCACTAAAAGAAACATTTGAGAAATTTTCTAGAGGAGAGTTCTACACTGCTGTCCTTTTTGGGACCTTGTGTTAGGCTGATGGAAAGCAAGCTTAGAATGGCCGCAGAAAATATTGCTTCTCAAGTATGAAGATTTGAAGAGGGGTCCCTTAATTAACGTCAAGAGGTTAGCTGAATTTTTGGATCAACCCTTCACACAAAATGAAGAAAGTGATGGGGTGGTGCAAGAAATAACAAATTAAGCAATGCAGTTTCTAGAATTTGAGAAATTTGGAGATCAAGAAAAGTAACTATTCTCGATTCATGTCCAAGAAATAAGATTTCTTCAGAAAAGATTGATGATTGGAAGAACTATCTTACAACAGAAATGGCAGCAGTTTTAGATCAAACTAGATAAGGGTTGTGTTACGCCCGTGACGTCCAGCCCAAAATTTTTCCAACATAAAAAAAAAAATGTAAGACGATATAAATATTAATAAAAAAAATGTATAAGATTAGAGTCATTAACTTGACTAGTTTTAATAAAAATTGCAATGATAATAAATAAATTAAAAAAATAATAATATAAAAAAATAAAAAAATTAGCCAAATCTGAGATTTAATTGTAATATCGAGGTAACCCTATAAAAAATAAAATGAATAAAACTATAAAACTCAACTATAAAACTTAATTATCAAATAATTCAATATTGAAAAGTGAAATGGAAAAAACTAATAATTAAAAAACAATAAAAAAATATGAGTTAACTCAAGTTAATCAATTTTGAAATAATCCCATAGAAAAAAATTTAAAAAAGAAACACGAAGATAAATTTATAATTAATTAAATATTAAAGGATGAAATTAATTTTTTTTTTAAAAAAATCAAAGTCAACTTATGTTAACTTTTAAAACTCATGACTTTGATCATGATCTCGGGACTAATCCTATAAAAAAAAATTCTAAAAAATAACAAAGTAAAATTCTAAATCAACAAAATATTGAGGGATGAAATAGATAAATAAAATTCAATAAAAAAGATTCAAAACAAAAGAAATAACAATTCAAAAAATAGGACTAAATTTGAAATAAAAAATAATTTGAAATCAAATATCGAGAGATGAAATTAAAAATAAAATTCAATTAGAAAAATGATACAAGAAAATTAAAAGATTGGTAACCAAATCTAATATAAAAATTAAATGAAATCAAATAATGAGGGATGAAATTAAAGAAAAAAAATTAATAAAATGATAAAAAAACAAATACCAATACAAAAAATAAGGACTAAATTGGATATAAAAAATAAATAAAATAATATTTTTATATTTTGACTAGAAAGACATAGAAAACAAAAGATATAACATAATCACAACATCATCATGTATATGTGCTACATAATTAGAAAGAGAATGGTAAAATGTTTCTAATGCTATTACAAGAAGCGATATTTAAAGGCAGGATGACGCCTCACTCAACAAAGAAGGGTGTAGACTCTGTCCACTTTTTATTTTTTAAATTATATACATTAAAAGATCAAATCACTCTAAATTAATTAAAAGATCAAATCACTCTAAATTAACTTCACTTTTTATTTTTTAAATTATATATATTAAAAGATCAAATCACTCTAAATTAACTTAACAGTAAGTAAAATGTCTATTTTAATTAACAAAACAAACCCCTAAATGACAATTCAAGAAAGAAAAAATTTGCTTTCGGTGATAATTTAGTTTTTATATTGTACTTTAAAAATTGAATTATTTCTAATTAATGTTTTGAAATATTTTACTTTCAAGAGTGGTAAAACTTTAACATTATGTATTTAAAATGTTAAAAGACAAAATTATTCCCACTCAATTTTATAATGGCTAATAAACTATATAAAAAAGGTTGTTTGCTCAGTAGCAAGTTAATTAATTTTTATTGGAGGAGCAAAATAATAATTACAATATTGAATAGATAGTAATATGTGTCTAAAAACACATTGAAATCTCATAGTCACAAGTAATCTCATGATAAGTGCAATGTGCACTTGCTTAATTATTTGAAGATCATGCTGAAGTTTTACAATAACATAATAACATGGGTAATTATGACTACCATAGCTATTTTAGATTAAATAAAAAATTAGATTGGATTTTATAATAAATATTTGATTTAAGTTAAAAGTTATTTCTAATCAAATATATTTATGATTTTTTAAATAGTCAAATGTTAAAAAATAACTTCAAACAATTTATAAAAATTATATTAAATATGGAATGTTAATATCCCATAAATCATCTTGTTTTAATATTTTATGATCGCTGAGAAACTCTCATCAAATTTTCATGTTCAGTAAGTTATTTGCCTTGCAGGAACAAATATCTATTTAGGAATATAGTTGTATTTATTTTTTAAAATATTTTTTATTTATAAAAATATTAAAATAATAATTTTTTATTTTTAAAAATAATTTTTGATATTAGCTTATTAAAATGATTTTAAAAAATTAAAAAATTATTAATTTAAAATTAAAAAAATAATTTTTTAAATGTTTTTAAAAATACTTTTTAAATTTAAAAACAAATAGAAAACTAAACACCAACGAGAATCATGATTTAATTCAGGATTTATTTGGGCCATAACAGATCAATAAAATTGATTTGGGCCATGCCGAATATTAAAATATAAATCGGTTTTCTAAATTTCGACTTAATTTTCGATCTACTTAATAAAAAGAAAAAGAAAGGAGTTCCGCTTGCACAAGTGCAAGGAGCTTCTTTGGCAGGAGAAGTATAGCAGAAGCTTTTTTGGTTCCCGAGAAAATAAAGAAAGTCTCGTTCTTTCTGTCTCAAATTACTCTCAGGTAAATTTCTCATCCTTTCCTCCCAAGTTCAAAATATACAAATTTGTTTGGTTTCCAAGAAAATTTTAAAAAAGAAAAGAACTTAACTTTAAACTCTCTTTTGTTTTTTTAATCACAGAAGTAAAAGATGGAGGGTTTTCAAGAATTTGAGCCCATTTTTAATGAACCCAGAATTGGATGGGCAAAGAATTCAAACCCGGGTTCGGGTTTGATGGATCAATTCTTGATGCATATATTTGCTCCTGATGACAATCACCTTAAAATTCAAGTAACTGATTATCATTCCAATACTTTTGAGGCTGTTAAATCAGTTATGCAGCTTGATGACATGGTTAGTTCTTGGATTATAATCATGGATTTTTGAGCTCATGCAATTTGGGTTTTAAAGTTTGTAACTCTCCTTTTGTTTTAATGGGGTATTGCAGAGGGATTGTATTGGCATTGGAGGGTCTTGGACTGAGTTTGTTGAGTACCTGGTTGCTTCTTTTAAAGCTGACGATGTAAAGCTTGTCCTTGAGAAACTTTCGGATTCCGATGGTGATTAATGTTATTGAATTTTGTTGCATTTTTATTATAATTTATAAATACTTAATGAAGATATAGGGTGAGATGAAGTGAAGTGATCTTTAGGCATATCATTTCTTACATGTTGTAAAGCGTTGTGTTTTTTTTCTTCCTTTGTTATGGTTTGCTTGCTCCCTTGGGATATCTGAAGGGAGTTCTAGTCAGACTTGATCAGATGCTAAGTAAAGCAATTACGAGTTTGACTCATGTCAACTACGTTGCTTATAAGATTCAAAAAAGGAAAAAGAGATTTTTATTATTTGTGGAATTGAATTAATGGGGATGATGGCTCAAAAGTCTTTTATATATCCAAATTTGATGACCAAACATGTATGCATTTAAATTGCGCTAGTTCCTGTTTTATGTGTTTCAGGTGTGGCATATGCAAAATTAGTGGCTCAAAAATCGAAAGGAATGCCACTAATTTCCATTTCCCTCACAAAACTTCTGGACAATGCAGCTAGGGATGCCATGGCAAACATGTCTTTTGGGCTATTCAAGGCATTCAAATGCATGGAGAATTTGGTTGTACAAGGTCACCTTCTCTTCTTCATATATTGATATATAGTTGACTTATTTATCTAATATATGAGGTTTCCTCCTCTTTTATTTGAAGCTTTTGATTGTTTTTTTCAGTATATTGAAGTCACTGTGTTTGAAAAATATTTTAATAGTCTGGTTAGCTCACTGGCTAGCAGATGATTTCCAAATGAAAAATTTACTTGGTTTTGTTGTATTCTGCAACTGCTAATAATAGTATTGGTTTCAAAATACATCAAGATGGAGATGTGCCCTTTTTAGATTTGTGATATCATTTAGAACTAAATGACAATTTATTTTTAAAAGAAAGACAGCTAATTGTCCGATGATAGTTTGAGTTACTTTTCAAGAAACAATCATTTCCACGATTTTCATATCTGAGGAAATTTGATATATTGATGTATTCTGCCGCTTTAACATGTGATAGAATTGTGTAGTATCCAGACTTGTATATGCTAAAAAAGTGGAATTTCTTTCCATTGTATTGCATGATTGTACACTAAGCCAAATGATACATCCTGATAAATTAAAAGATTTATCCTGTCTATGATTGTTCTTATGTGCGCTTGCATGTTCTTATAATATGGTCATATGTCTTCAACACCTTTTCATTTTTAATGCATTATGCCTTGTAAGTGTCTACCTGCATTACATTTTTCTTTGTCTTTTATCTTCTTTCTTATCATATTCTCTTTAACAGCAACATGTTGGGGCGAAATGAGCAATTCTGCAATTAATTGTCACATTCTTTGATTGCACTTGCAGAGAAAGAGCACTCTTTGCAGTTGACAAAAGTTATATCAGCCGAAAAGGTATGTTGCTTATTATAGACAGACAATATTATGGTTTTACTGTTATGATTTTTAACTTTTTTTTGTGTAAAGATGTATGCCCTTTTTTAATGATGTGCAACCCCCATTTTCTGCAAAGCTTCCTGAGCTGACTGACCTGGTCTAATGTCTTAGTGTCTTCCTGATTAAATGGCATCAACAACATGCTACTTGTAGTTGTCATTTTGCATTATTCAGTAACGTTAGATGTAGATGCTTGTGGATACCATATGTTCTTATAAAAAGATTTAGATTTTTGGACAGTTAATATTGAGTCATTGAGATCCTATAGACTCACCTTGGATTTTTCTGCATTTAAATTGTAAATATGCTGTTGTTGCAAAAATTTTCTTCTTCAAGGTTACTTTTCTTTCATTCAACTATCCTTGGTTAGTTTTTGCTTCATTGGAAAAACCAAATTTGTGAAAACTTGTATATCTCTAGTAGGACTCCATTTCATTATTCATCCAAGTATGCAACAATTCTTATTCTTGAAACTTTCTTTGCCATCTGGAGATCTCCTTTTCTCCTATGACTATCCATCAACCATCCCGATGAAAAAGAAACAGTAATTTACTTCTTCATACAAAATATGACAAGTCATGATACTAATCTCTCTCTCTGTTTTTTTTTTAACTCCAAACACCACTCAATCTTTTCCTATCAAAAGTAAATAGTTCAAATGTAATTTGCCACTTCAAGTTTTTGTGCGGCTCAACCATGCTTGGGAAGTCCAGTTTTTGTAGCAGTGGATACTTTATGCATACCAGTCCTGGTCGTGCTTTCTATGTAAAATCTAATTAACAGGGTGCTAGCATCATTGTTGAATTGATAAGTTTTTTCAAGAGGGTGTGTGTAAAAGACGTGAAGCAATTATGCCTATGATGGCTTATTGAATTGTTGTGCTGAATTTCTCCTTTCTTTTTTCAGAAGAGGAGTGAAAATATCCAGAGTCAATTGGGAAAGAGACAGAAGTTAGAAAAGATGAATTCTTCAGACAGACTAGATGTTTCTGGTCCTCCAGCCAGTAATGGAGCACAAAATTCTCCAGGTTTGCATCTTTTTTATTTTTGCTTTGATCTACTTGCAATATCTTCTAGGATGTGTGCTTAGCCTTGGAGGTTTTCAGATTATCTGTAAACTTTGTGCTTCTATATATATATATATATATATATGAGTGCTTCTATATATATATATATATATGTCACTGAATGTGATGATACTGTATCTTCTATAAACAAAATATTTCTGAACCAGATAATAGATGCTGGTATGCCACAATTTGATTTTGATTCTGTGTTGAATGAGGCCTGCTTGCAAGTGACGTATGTAAATGAAATCTGATAAAATTCATTAACTGTAAAAAGGATTGACTGGAAAACATATCATGGTCAATATGCTAGGGGTAGATAGCACATGATAATTATATTGAAACAATATACAGAATTTACAGTTATTATTTTGTTTTTTAATGAAGTTGACAATGATTTCTTGTGTGCATAGTATATTATTATTATTTCGTTGGATTCTTTTAGAATGTTTACCTTTTAAACTATTGGGACTGATTAAAATAATTTGTCTGTTCTATTCAATTAGTCCTTTTTATTTGGATAATTTAATCCGTTCAGTAGATGCTGATAATTGAAATTTAGTTTAGAAACTAAGACTGCCTTCTCCTGCTTTAAATCAGACAAACTAGCAGGCCGAGATCCTGCCTCAACAAAAGTTACCAATCGTGTTGTACCGGCATTTCGCAGGTATATCAGCATCTCCTATTTAGTTCTCCATATAAACCTGCATTTTCAATATCTAATTTTCATGATGTTTGAGCAGGGCAAAAGTGAGGGGTGCCTTACTTCAGGATAAAGAAGATGACAAAGAGAACTAGAAGCTAATCTTGTTGGTGGGAGAAACCACTTGTGGTGGCTTTGAAACACTCGGAGGGGATAAAACACACTCTTTTATTTCAAGAACAACAAACTTACAACAATGAAAAGCTTACAATAACAACCCCTCTTTCTTTTCAACCAGAAGTTTGCAAGCTGTCACTTCACAAAAAGCATGGAGTGGTCACAAACCAAGTGTTACTCATCTTCGAGTCTTTGGTTGTGTGGCAT